CCCCAAAACCCCAAAACCCCAAAACCCCAAAACCCCAAAACCCCACAAAGCCAAAAATTATTGAATATTAAGAATTTAAGTCTTACCCAGGACAGAATAGAAAATGAAATTGTGATGCTGAGAACTTAGCTCCTGTCTTCTCACAGGAGCTTGCTCCTGTTGTACTTTGTAGTCCTTTCCTCAATATATTTGTAAAGACTTGAAATGAACTTGATGTTTGTCCCATAGTCTTTAAGGCCCAGTCTGATATTACTATGAGCTTCAAGCTTTACGCCACCCCATACATCGCTTCATTCAATAACTCGGATGTGAAGATCATTTACCATCCCAAATAAGGTCTTAAAATCAAAGTAGGAGAAACTGAAGGAATACCCAATAATGTCCACATCATCTCCTGAGGCCTTCAGCGGAGGAGTTTTTGCAATAATAGGTTCAGGATTAGCATTGAACCCATTTTCCCGCATCCAGTCATCTACGGCTTCCTTCAAATCATCCACTTCCATTTTAAACGTGACTGGGTACTTAAGCTCTATCTCACTGACTCTAAACTTATCAACAGTGGCCATTCTGGAGAAATTATTGTCTGAATATCTCCAGTGATTCGGGAACTCGCTTGAGGGCTTAAACCCGACTAGGAGTACTATTATTATGAAAGAAAGGAGGACTGCCGGAGTCACGAACACAGTCATGAACAGAATACACTTCTGCTTCCTCAGCCACTTGAACATTAGGAAGGAAACTACGATTGTGAGGATGAGGAGATGAACGATGAAACCCCAAACGTACTGAGCCCAGTGCCCGTTCTGGATTATTAACAGGATCAAGATTAGGTTTATGATTTGAATGAACAGGACTATAAAAAGGTACTGCATATTCGTCTTCTGTAAAGTTTTCCAATACTCAACGAGGCGCTTCTTAAAATCCACCCCCTTCTTATCATTATAGTCCTTCACCTTTATAGTTTGCATGTTATTAAATATTATAAACTAAGGAAGGGGTTTTGGGGTTTTGGGGTTTTGGGGTTTTGGGG